TTGCACAAATGCCGGTACACTAATATTGCGACGTTGTTGCACTTTCGTTGTATTCTCGATTCATGAGCATTTCACATCCGAGATGTTCACGGTCTCATCATTCCTTGGCACATTCCGCTCCTTGCTTCTCGCTGCGTGTGCAGCAACCTCGCTTTGTATGAGTTCCTGTTGAGTTTGTGGTCTTGAGGAGCTGTAAGAAGGGCTTCCGTTTCCACATGGAGTCCACGTGTTGATAACCGGTTGAAAGTCTGTGTCCCCCAAATTTGCAAAGAGATCGTCCATGAAGTTCTTTATTTCTCCAATCATGACATTGTAATTTGTACTCCACTTATCCTTTTGTGTCACATCTTCCATTCTTATATTCTTTTCATTCAGCTGTTTTCGTCCTTTCCTTTTAACAGCCTCTTTTGCTTTTATTTTTGCGGGTCCATTAGAAACACAGTATGACGTCGACACTCGAATAACAGAATCGATCAGAAGGCTGAAAGAGACAACTGAGAATATGGGAAAGCGAATATCACTATCCCATTGAAATTCTCATTCGCACCCAATGTTTGACTCCGTAACTACCTTGCTTCCGCAATGCGCAACGGTCTGAGACCCTTTAGTGAGGCCGGTGAAAGTGATGGAGGTTCGGCCTTGATTTTTTGTACTGCACCCGCTGATCCACAGCGGTGTACCCCATGCAGACTATAGGATTACTGTATCGTATACTGGGCAGAGTAGGGACCGAGCTCAATGTGCGGTCTTCGCGTTCTGTTCTTCCGTTCAACTGACCACGAATACGGGAGTTTTGCGGCTCGCTTTCTAAAGACTGAATGTTTCAGGAGTGAACTTGCGTGGGCTTGTGCAAATGGCGTGCGACGCTAGACTGATGGACCCCGAATACAAGATGCGCACCGTGTTGACGATGGCCAGGCACATGGAAGACGAGTTCGATGTGCAACGATTTGGCAACATGGAGCGAGGCAAACAGTGGGATTGTGTACGACGGCTGTTCAACCGTCACTGCGGCTGCTATATAACCCTTCTGTACATCGGCATCAAACTGTTGTACGCGATCAACATTGTAGTGCAGTTCTTTCTGCTGAATCACTTCCTCGGAACCGGAAACGTTCTGTACGGATTTAGTGTGCTAAAGGACCTGTTTAATGATGTCGAGTGGGAACAGACGGGTATATTTCCGCGCGTGACTTTGTGCGACTTTGAAGTTCGCGTTTTAGGCAATATTCATCGACATACGGTACAGTGTGTACTGATGATTAATATGTTCAATGAAAAAATATTCCTATTTCTGTGGTTCTGGTTTCTGATGGTCGGCATGGTGACTTTGTTTAACACCACCTACTGGCTGGTGATCATGTTCTCCCCCAGCCAAGGACTCATGTTTGTGAAACGCTACCTAAGAATGGTATGCGAGCAGCCGAATAAGGTCTGCGCCGACGAACAGTTGCTTAAGAAGTTTGTAAAGGAGTTTCTGCACAAAGATGGCATATTCATTTTGCGAATGATTTCCTTCAGAGCCAGCGAGCTGGTCTGTTCCGAACTGGTGCTGTCTTTGTGGACGGCCTTCAGCAGCGTCGATCGGTCGACGTCCCAATTTTGGGAAGTAGAAAACGATTCTAATGTATGACTAGAAAATGCCTGGAAAAAGACTACCCGTCCCAAAGGGCATTCTCACCTCGCCCCCCCCCACCCCACTGCCGATCTACGATACTACCGTACAAAAAATGAATT